TACACATTATTAACGGAAAAAATTTAGAGGTGATAAAAAATCGAGTAGAGCCGGGCCATATCATAATTTCTCGTGCCCAAACCCGTAGAAAAGTAGCGGGTTTTGGGCTTTTTTCGAACCCGGTTCGAGTTTTAACTAAAAATGCATTTTTAGGTTTGCCTAAACCCACCCTATTTCGGGCCGGATCGGGTCGGGAAGCGAGTCATGCCAATATTGATCAACTCTTAAAAAATCCTTACCAAAAATATCATTTCCCCAAAAAATAGTTTTCTATCTCTCCAAAAAAAATTCAACTTCCCATAATAATTTAGTTTTTTTTACTCTAATATTATTTTCAATTAAAAATAATTTAAGATTTCAATATCAAATTTCAAAATAACATATGTTAAAAGAACATAATTTATATTGTAAAGTACATATAGTTAATACCTAAATAACACACTAATCAAACTCAAAGAATATATGATAATAAAAGTAATTTAAATATGACATATGATAATAAAAATAGAATTTGGACGTCATTACGACCTTAAAGAACATACACGCCAAATTCAAAGAACATACTTTGTATTGTTAAACCCCAAAAAAAATATATGTTTATCAACATATGTTAAATAACATAAGTTATAATGTAAAGAACATATAATTTTACTCAAAGAACACACTGATCACACTCAAAGAACATATTAAAGGTATGTTCTTTGTCAAACATAGATATGTTCTTTATCAAACATTATATGTTCTTTCCGCCTTTTTTGTTTACCCGGGTGCACCATGAACATGGTGCACCCGGGTGTATTATCTAATTTTCAAAAAAATGAAGTATTACATTTGACATAATGAAAATGGAATATCATGCTTAATTGACATTCTAATGTTTCAACTACATAAGAAAATCTATATTAGTTGAATATATGATGAAAAAGATTAAAATTAATTATAGGGAAAAAAATCCTTAAAAAATCATAGAAAAAAGTTTTTTTTTTTTTTAAGGGAGAGGATATGAGTTTTGACAAAACATTCTATACCTATATACTTATTAGTGATCATAAAGGGTTGTTTGGCTACACAAAGAAAATGGGGGAAGTGGAAAATTATGGGAATTTGAAAATGAATGAGTTGTTTGGTTGATAATAAAAAGTGTAAATTAGAGAATTGCAAATTTGCAAATTCATGGTAATTGTGACTTCCCACAAAACATGGAAAATTAATAACCCGACCCTCCTCCCTAAGTAAGTCAAAATTTCCATGATTTGCAACTTCCTTCATGCCAACTAAACAACTTTATGCAATTCCCATGACTTTGATCGATTTAGGAATTTAGTTCCTATGAAATACAAATTCCCATAGCAACCAGATGACATTGTAATGTCTTGTTTTTAGTCATTATTTTTTGTCTATCTCAATAGTATCCTTGAAGCGGATATTATATTTGTCACACAAAAACTTGTATTAGAAGATAATTTTTTTTGTAAGAATATTATACTTTTCATATTAGTTAATTGAATGTCAATATATTTGTTTTGATGATTGTGAAAACAAATGATGAGAACAAAACAAATATATTCTCTTTCAATACAGTTCATGAACAAGTCATGAAGCATGAAGATTGTTGAAATGTGTATTGAACTCTAGGCATAGTAGTGCTTTCTAAACTCTAGGCATTATCTCCATTATCTCAATTTAGTTCCTATGAGAACTGCATACAATGTATTGAAATGTGCATGAACAAGTCATGAAGCATGAAGATTGTTGAGAACAAATTAGATCATTATTGAAGATGGTTCCCAATATACAATGTATGAATCGTGCTTGAGTTCCTCAGGGGGGAACATAAAGAGAAGAAGAAATCCTAAGGGGGAACACAAAGAGATGGAGTCTAAACGTATTATTAGATTTTGTATGCAGTTCCTAAGAAGAATGAGAAACAGTTCTTTACAAGGAACAAGCAACAAGCAACAGTTTCAAAGTGGGAAAAAGCAAAGAGAAGTTTCTTTGAAGGAATATAAGCTTCGGAGTAAAAGCTTTAAGAAAGAAAAATAGGAGTATATTTTTCTAGGAATCATGTAAGTATGTTAGGCAAGAGAAATTATTTGAAATAAGTCTAAGGAACCAAATTAGAACTTGAGTCTCGAAGGAACTGACAGTCTGGAAGGAACTTAGTGCTGCTCACCAGCCAGTTCCTTACGAGCCAGTCTAAAATTCATGTATAGGAGAAACACGAGTTTGCACTACATTATTAGAAGTCAGTAGTCATTGCATTGTCTTTGCCTACTTTCTAGGTAGTTAGTTTTGACTTGGTATAATTTAATTTATATAGATTTTATTTTATAAAAGATAAATTTTTAAAATAAAATCTAATTTTCATATTAGTCAAAAAGATAATTTATTCTCCTTATCTTCTCCTATATTTTAGGGATTTATTTTTAGGTTGTTTCCTATTTAATCTCCAATTAGTTTAATATTTCAAATTAAATGGGTTATATTAGTCAAAAAGATAATTTATTCTCCTTATCTTCACCTATATTTTAGGGATTTGTTTTTAGGTTGTTTCTTATTTAATCTCTAATTAGTTTAATATTTTAAATTAAATGGGTTAGTTATTTCAGGATAAAATATTTTTAATAAAGTATTATTTTAATAAAATCTGAATCAGTTTTTAATTGATAAAAATTTGATATGGTTAGGATTTTATTATTTTATATTTTCTATTTATATTAAGTTTTTGGAAAAATAAAAATTACTTTTCACGTTTAATTTAAAACAGCTTTTACAGGAGAAAAATAAGGAGATTATGGACTCCAATCCATGTCTTCCATTAATTCGTATGTTCATTGATAATGGAGATAATGCCTAGAGTTTAGAAAGCACTACTATCATGGTTGAAGATCATGGGGTGAATGGGTTCGTCTTTGAAGCAATATAAAAATAGAAGTTTTCATTCATTCCAAGCTATCTGGCTTAAGTGAGTCAGGCCCTGTTCTTTTGAGCTTCTGGGCAGAGCAGAGTAGAGCAGGGGTCAAAAGAGCAGAGCAGATTAAATTTGAGCAGAGCAGAGCAGATTTCAGGATAGCAGAGCAGAGCCGAGCAGAGCAGATTTCAACATTATTATTAATACAATTATTAATGTTATTATTATTAATGTTGTTGTTGTTATTATTCTTATTATTCTTATTATTATTATTAATTAATAATAATAATTATTATTATTATTATCATTAATAATTAATAATTATTATTATTATTAATTATTATTAATTATTAAAATTAATATTATTATTATTAATTATTAAAATTATTATTATTATTAATAATTACTATTAAATTTTTTTTTATTATTAATTATTAATTATTATTATTATTATTTATTATTATTATTAATTATTAAAATATTATTATTATTAATAATAAGAATAATATTTAATATTATTATTATCATTAATAATTATTAAAATTAATAATAATAATAATTATTATTATAATTATTATTATTAATTATTAATTATTAAAATTATTTTTAATATTAATAATTATTATAATTATTCAAAATAATAAATTATTATCATCAATACAATATTAATTATTATTATTGAATATTAATTATTATTGTTGTTATTATTAATTATTATTTGAAAATTAAGTAGAGAAGAGCCGAGCCGAGCCGAGCAGAGCATAACAGATTTTTTTTTAGCAGAGCAGATTTGATTTAAGCAGAGCAGAGTAGCTCTAAAGAACGGGGCCTCATTCCATAATGGAGTTTGTCCCAAGTGGTAGAGTAGTAGAAAAGAAATATATTTTTTCTCCATGTTGGTGAGTCAGTTCCTCTAGGTTCCAAGTTCCTTACATATCTCAAAGTGTCCAATATATTACTTTTATACAATATATCTTTTATATGTATTTGAGAGTTGTTTAAGGGTTTGAGTGAACTCGGAAATCTATAAGGGTTTGATTGAACACTTGTATTGGGATGAGAACTTGAGTGAGTTCTTTGTATGTAGAGAAAGCTTTGAGAGAAGCTTGAGAGAAAGAGTAAGGTTTTGAGTGGAGTCTTGAGTGAGAATTGAAGAGAGGTCTTTAAGGGAAGTTTCGAGCTACAACTATTAGAGGGAATAGTTGTTGGGGATATGAGTTCGTTGAGGAACTCGGTAGAGGCTCAAGTTCCTCATATGTTGTAACAGAGTCGTTGGCCAATTTTTTGGAAATTTTTAATTCAAAATCCCCTAGGGTCGAGGTTTTTCACTTCTTATTTGGCCTAGGAAGTTTTCCTCGTAAATCTCTCTTGCACTATTTCTTTATTGCGGTTATTAGTTCCGCGAAAAGTGACTAGCAAACTCCATACTACAATTCACCTTCCCTCTTGTAGTATTTCATCTAAATAACAATACTTCGTATTAAAAAAAAAAATTAATTAAACATCATTGCTATTTATATAGTGATTAAATTTTACAAATAATTTCTTTAAATAAATTTTCTATAATTTTTTTAAAATATTAAGGACACACCAGAAAGGCAGAAACTGACATGTATCATTGCTGGTGTGTCTTATAATATATAGTTATTGATTGATAATTGATTAAATCTTATTAATTGGTTGAAGTGGCCTTTATATTTTGCAGTACTTTCTGTTCTCTTAAATCTTACTTGAGCAATTGAGCCTCATTTAACATGCTCTCAAGCCTTCGACAAATTTAAACTAGGTGACAATTTCATTTACTATTTTTTAAAATTTTTACACGAACTAGGTGATAAATTGATAATTAGTTGCACGCACCTATAGTTTACTACCAACCATATCTGTTAAGGTATCAAATTTATTACGTTTTGTCCGTGCTATATTTTGTCCTCAAACATTACACTATATACACGTGAAAAATGTTCAACCCCACAAATAATTGAAGGGCAAATTAAAGCTTAAATCACATTAAAGAATAGGCTCACTAGTAAATTGCTAACATAACAAGGGTCATTTTTGCACCAAAATCCTTTATAAATAATAAGCAACGTACTCTTAAGTCCACATGAACAAAAAAATCTCCTATCATAACAAAGCCATACAACATTATGAGCTTCTTAAGAGGGTTCTCTATGATATTCCTCCTAGGGGTTGTAGTGACCTCCCTCTTCTTTGATAATAATGTTTATGCTCATGAATATCCACACCCAATACATCTCCTCATGCCCCATTCTGGCTCAGCCGGCCATCGAATCGAGGGCCTAAATTGCTTGAGTTGGCGGCTAGCCGTGGAGACGAACAATCTTCAGGATTGGATGGTCTCAAAAGAATGTCAAGGTTATGTAGGACACTACATGATGGGTTCTCAATACCATAAAGATTGTTTGGCTGTTACTTCCGCGGCTTATGGCTATATTAAAAGCCTCTCTCTTAAAAATGGTCGTAACAACACTTGGATATTTGACATTGATGAGACTTCCCTCTCTAATTTGCCCTACTATGCTAGACCACAAGTTGGATTTGGGTGAGTTCTATGTTAGCATTTATACCTTGATTAATTGATTTTCTTATATTTAAAGTACAAACATGCAAATTAGATTCATTTAAATTTTAAGTAAGATGAGTTGCAACTTCCTTTGATTACTAATTTACTATACATACCATCTTTGTGCTATCTACCTTGTGCAATACATTTTTTTTTTTTTTTTGTGTTAATTTTTTATTAAATCAGACTATATAGCATGTAATTCCATTCACTTATTTTAATTATATATACCTTATTCCTTGCATTATTCGCATCACTTAGCATAATTTTAGACACAATAAATTAATTCACTTTATGCTTACGCAAATAGGCAATTCAATTTTAAAGATGTGTGAGTGTGTGACTGTAATGTTTCAAATTAAAAAAAGATGGGTGACTGTAATGTTTCACGTTTGTGTTTTTTTTTTTTTTTTGGTGTTAATTTTTTATTAAATCAGACTATATAGCATGTAATTCCATTCACTTATTTTAATTATATATACCTTATTCCTTGCATTATTCGCATCACTTAGCATAATTTTAGACACGATAAATTAATTCACTTTATGCTTACGCAAATAGGCAATTCAATTTTAAAGATGTGTGACTGTAATGTTTCAAATTAAAAAAAAGATGGGTGACTGTAATGTTTCACAAAAAGATGTGTTTTTTTTTTGGGTGTTCTACCCGATTCACCCTTTGGACTAATCCGGATTCGGGGATCAGTTCTGGGTGGTTAGGTTCCAGTCCCCTCTTGATTGTTGTTGCGGGGGATCGAACACGAGTCCTCCCTACCAAGTGTAGTCTCAATCACCACTACACCAACAACCAATTGGTACACAAAAAGATGTGTGACTGTGTGAGGAAGATTTTTTTTTTCTTTATCCTGGAAAGTGCCAAATCTATTGGTTTCAAAGTAGGTGTGAGAAATAATAATAAGATATGGTCATTTTCGCTTAAGAAAGTATATTATTTTGGAATTAACCAAGAATAGTTTGTGGTCCTTATTAGGCAAACTTGACAATGCATAAAAATCAAGGCACTCCAACTAGGGGTGGGCATGGGTTGGGACATTGGGTGTAGTAGGACCCTGACCTTGACCCAAACCCTAACAATTTGATGTAGACCTAGCTAGATTTGTGAGGTTTTAATTTAAACATGTTAGTTGGCCTCATATCCAAAATCAATCAATCAATCTTAAACATTTGGATCCCGAATTGTTTCATAAATCAAACAAGTCTCAAATATTTAATTTGAATCTGAACCTTAATAATTAAATGGACCAACACGTACGGTCTAGACCCATATGCACATCCCTATATTCCACTCATTACTAGGTAATTATTTACTTCTTACTTCATAGTACGGTATTTACATTATTTCTAATGTATACGTAATTGGTGATTTAATGCAAAATATACAGGGTATACCCATACAACGACACAGCATTCTACGAGTGGCAAAAGGAAGCAAAAGCACCAGCAATACCCGCAGTGCTAAGCTTTTACAAGAAATTAGTTAGACTTGGTGTCAAAGTTATTTTCCTTTCAGGAGCTCAAGCTGAGTTAAGAGAGCCCAAAGAGCGTAACATGAAGAACATTGGCTATCATACTTGGGAAAAGATGATCTTAAAGTAAGTACGTTAAGATTGCTATTACTACCTCCGGTCCAAATTACTCGCAACTTTGGGATATTTTATATCTCACAGATAATACTCCAAAGTTGCGAGTAATTTGGACCGAAGGTAGTGGTATATATTATAGTTAAAATTCAAATTATTTAGGGGGGACATTGTAATTTTTGATCACTTTGAACAAACAAACAATTTCATAAGAGTATGTTCATTTAATGAAAAAACCATTTTGAACACATCATTACTAGAGGAATATTTCATTTTAAAGAAAATCTAAATATTTTTAATTACATTTTCATTTAAAGGATATTTTTCCATTACACCTGATTACAAAGTACATTTTGAACTGATACAATATACTTCCTCCGTTACGAATTACTTGCAACAAAGGGGTATTATTTATGTGACATAAAATATTCCTTTGTTGCGAGTAATATGTAACGGAGGGAGTATTAAGATATCAGTTGCTCTTTAGTACGGAGTTGTTCTTAAATTAAACTATATTATTTTTGACAATATAATAATATGATTTGGATAGTTATTTTCTCTAATAATTTATAAATAAAAGAGATATTTCTGATGAAGTCACTCTAGAAATGGCAAGTCACTTTTTAATTTGATATTATGGAGTTTTCTACTTAATGAATCAAAGTAAATAAAAATAGTTAAATGGTACGAGTACCACATTTTCCAAACATATTGATTCAACCTTGGAATATAAACCTATGGTAATTGATTGTGTTTATATATTTTGTTTTTGATACAAAAGGGAATTAAGTGAATCACACATGAAAGCAGTGGAGTACAAATCAATGCATAGGACAAAGCTAGAAGAGATGGGATACACTATAATTGGCAACATGGGTGACCAATGGAGCGATCTATTAGGATCACACACTGGCTTGAGGACCTTTAAGTTGCCCGACCCGATGTATTACATTGGCTAATATTACTTCTTACTTTATTTATGTTGAAATAAATATGATGGTTGAAAAACATTGTGATGTTAGATGTTAACATCTTTTTCCTTTTTTTTTTTTTTTCCTTTTTTTCCTTTTTTTTTTTTTTTTTTTGGGTGTGTAAGTGTGTTTAGAGAGTCGTAATAAGGATGGGCGATGAGAATCAATCCCAGATCTCCTAGAATCGGGAGGGAATTTGTAACCACATGAGCTACCCCTCACCTGTCTATCTTAGCTTAGCTATTTCTCATCACTGTCTGATCCATTCCAATAAATATATATCTAAATTTCACTTTGGTTATTTTTTTTAGTATATAAGTATATGTTTTTTTCATTCTTTATAATTACTTTTTTTTAATGCATCAGTTTGACCAACACATTTGTTGAGACGCAACTTTGACTATTAATATCTTTAATTTTTTATTGGTAAAATTGTAATAAAATTATATTATGAAACTAGACATTATGACTAATCTAATGATATATTGTATTATATAATAACATTTATTCATTTTAAAGAGGTGAAAAAATTAAGTCAACCATGGTATATCAATAGTGCAAAAGCTAAAGTGTTGCATTTAAAAAAAACGAAGAGAGTATATTGTTTGTTTTTGTTTTTGGACTATATATTGCATGTTTATTTTTTTTTTTTCACTAAGCATATTGTTGATTATTTTTAAGACGTGTTACAAAATAACTTTAAAAAAAGATTAATGCAATAGGGCTGCATATTATAAACATTAAATACACTTTCTAAAATTGTATAAATTTAATAATTTATACGAAAATCACGTATAGATCAGCTCAATTAATGTTTTTTTCCTAAAAATATGGGTAGATTAATCTATCATGACCATCCACTATATCCATTTTCTTAATACCTATGAAGAATCCCAAATGTAAGGCCATGCATGTTCTACTGTTAATAGTTTCATTTCAGTAAAATTAAGTTTAGTTTAGTAAAAATTAGTAAACATAACAAAAGAAATATAGTAGAAAATCAATAAAAAAAATTAATTTCAATTTAGCAAAAATAATTCCAGTCCAGTAAAATTAATTTAAGTTCAGCAAAAATAACTTAAGTTTAGTGAATGAAAATAATTTTTTTATTAAAGAAGTCCTAAAGGACACTAAATTTCATTAACTATAGCCATACCGCATCTACAATTGACAATTAACGATAATGAAAACAAATTTAACAAAATCAAACAAGAGTTAATTGGGGAAACGCTAAGAATCCAAATATAGAAATATAACAATTTGGCACATTCTCGATTTGTTGTCTCATACAACTTTTTGAGTGGATCCGTCGCCACTTCGTAATTTTGTGAGAAAATAAATTTTTTTGCTGATACCGTAACCCGAAATTGAGTAATAATCAATTGTAGCCTCGCACAACCGAAGACCAAATTAAACACGAATAAAACCTTGTTTTTCAAAGGAGCCCGAAAAACCTTGTCTTTCGAAGGAAATCGAAAAAAACCTTGTCTTTTGGAGGAGATAAACCCCTTTCTTTCGAGGGAGACATAACCTAAGAAACAGAAGCTTAAAAGAAAGAAAGATTGGGGCTTTCCACCGGTGATATGCGATGGAAGCCCCTTCAAATTTGACAATGAAGGCTAGAGTTTATGAGAGAGAAGATAGAGAGGAGGCTAAGGTTTTTAAAGTAATGAGTTATTAGGTGTAAACTATGGATATGAAAATAATTTCCTTGAAACAAAAATAAAGTGAAGGGAATGGAGCCTAACTTTGGAAAAGAAGGGAGGGAGTAGGATTTACTGATTAGGAACCCAAAAACAAGTTTAACTAGATAAGACAAATTAAATGCAAGTGATGCAACTGAATAACCCCAAAATATTTAATTTATAAAATACAAAAAAAAATTAAAGAGTTAGCTATAGGCAATATAAAACAAATGGATATTATATAATTGTATGATTTGGGATATTATAACAAAAGCACAGGTAACTTATGTAATAAATGTTTATTTATTTTCTTTTTTAATCTTCTTTGTTACTTACATAGTTACATGTAGTCTTTAGGGTTATGTTTACCATTTTTCAAAACTTAAAACAAAACTATAAAGAAAGTATTCAACATAGGATGCTAAATAAATCATCTCTATGATGGTGAAAATACAATATAAAGAACATTGTACAATTCCTAACCAAAAAATCCTTAGTCAAAGTAAAAAAACTTCTTAATTTTGGACAGAGGTAGACATTCTCTAATCAATCAATCAATAAACTATACTTAAATATAGAATAATGTAACACACAACATTATTGTTACATATCTCAAGCAAATCAACATTATCTTTGCAAACAAACACATCAAAGCTATATACATGATTGACCTCTTTTTTTGGTGCCATCTCAATAGTTATTTTATATATTAAAGTGTTACATATAATCGTGCATTATTGCTACCAAATCTGTATAATTTTACTAAAGTAATGTAAACAGTTTTTTGCTTTTGCTTCCCATCAAAAAAAAAAAAAAAAAAAAAAAAAAAAAAAAAACTAATCAACCTATATATGTGTTATAATTGGTGAGAAAAACTCAATCAGGAAGTAGGATCGAGGCGAAAAAACTGGTCGAAATTAGAACGCATATTTATGGCTCGGTATTAGAAGAACTTGGCGCCAGCAAACAGAGGCCAGCGCCACAATTTGAACATCAAAGTCAGACAGCCCAACTTGAGAAAAATCATGCTTTGAACATAAATGCCTCGAGATTCTATAGTTGGTCATTTAACATGGTATCGGAGCCAGCGTGACACAAAGGTCACGGGTTCGAATCTCATCCACCCCTCTTTCAAAGTGGAATTAATTTGCGCCGGGTATGGGAGGGTCTGTACTGCATCCACATTTCAAGCCCAAAGGGCCTTTTATGTAAGGGGAAGTGATAGAGTATAAAACATGTTCCTAGGCCTCAACCATCAGTTTAAGCTTTTAGTTGAGATGGTCCTTTAACAAAGTATCAGAGTCAGCGTGACACAAAGGTCAGCTTAAGCTTTAGGTTGAGTTGGTCCACTAACAGGTTGTAATTTAGCTAATCTACCTTTTTATCTTTACCTTTTGATAGATCTAGAGTAGCATTATCGAGAAGTTGATCACATGATTAGACATTTATTCACCGTAAAATAGTTATTGTATAAGCTAATTGGTCATAATGTCATATGCTAAAATCTTTGACAGACGACATACAAGATTTCATGGAAAACGACATCTATGCATGATAGAGTAGACGTTTTGGTCTCCATTGCCCCATCCACTTGTGATTTGGTATAATCGTATTCATAATCGAATTCTGAATTTAAAAGACTTTGTTTAATTTGAGAATCTAGATTTGAAATAATGAAAAATTATACTTATTACAATAAATTCCAATATTTCATTTTTAATGCTTCGTTGTTTTATGTCTCTGAATAAGAGATTTTAAATGATTGTTTTTCCTTACATATAATTAGAACAGAGGGTGTATCTTTATAAAAATAGCAAATATTGTCAGACAAAAATGTATAGAGTAATTGATTTAAAATGTAAGAAACTTATGTGTCAATCAATATGATTAGTGTATAAATTACTATTACAATAAATTCCAATATTTTTCCAATATAATGCCTATTTCAATATGGTTGGTGTATAAATGATACTATTTCAATAATTTCTAATATTTTTCCAATAAAATGCTTATTTCGATATGGTTGGTGTATAATGATACTATTACAATAAATTTCAATATTTTTCCAATATTATGCTTATTTCCTTTTACGTGATTTTCAAGTCATGTTATTGACCATCAGATCACTATCTTTAACATGTTATGTATAACTGATGATTTTTTATCAACATTTTAAAGATTTAGCTATGAAAATAGAATTTAACACAATGCAATACTATATGTTTGAAACCCATTGTACTCTACTTGTGAGTGTCCCACGGTGGAGAAAGAGAAAATATGGTTCCACATTATAAGGTAGAGGAGTTACTCCTATTATTGTCAATTGGTTTTAGTGTGAAAGCTCCAAAGCCTAGTTTGTGAACCTAATTCTCCTCCTTCTAGTTCGGGTTGCCCAGACCCATTTCATATTGTTTTGAAATAAATTTAACACTATATATTATTGGACGGAGCTCGGAAGAGGCCGGAAGGAGTGTAATAAATTTTTTTAAATCATATACTACTTCATAGATGTTTATTAATATATAAAATGCCAATTTCATAAAGACATTGATTCATCTATTTTACAGAATATGTAATAATGTATAGCTAGATATTATGAGTATTTTTATTGGTGTTTGACTGATGAAGAATTAATATAATGCATGTAGCGTGCTGCATGCATCGCATGTCATCCCATACAATATAAATGAAATTGAACGCGGAATTATTCCTTTCTCCTATGTACTACATCGGCTAATTATTAAGGAGTACTCGTATTAATTATGAAATCAAAATAGAAAGATTTTTTTTTTTTTTTTTTTTTTTTTTTTTTTTTTTTTTTGTGGTGTTCTACCCACTTCACTCTTTGAGTTAATTCGAATTTGAGATTGATTATGGGTTATTTGATTATAGTCCATCTCAATTGTTTTTCCAGATATAGTGATATGTAGTGGGTTTTTTTTTTTTTTTTTTTCCTTGAAATAAAATTGATGATATGTAGTGGCTTTTATATCATCTTGTCATGCAATTTTATATTTAGCTTGGGTATTTTATTTACATTTTTCTTATGGGTGTAAAGTCTATGTATGATGCAGTAATTGCTTCTAATAAGAAATTAAATTGCAATTTTATTCCCTTGGTTTATTTCAACTAATCACTAATATAAAGATCAATTACGTGAAGGAGTTTTGTCTTCGATAAGTGCAATTACTAGATATATCAAGGATCACTATTATGGAGATAATAAGTTCGTTCTTTTGGGTCGTCATTATCTGTTGCTAGACTACGATCATTGATCTTTGGGCTAGTCAAATAGTCCAAAGCCCACTAAAATGGATCCTATGAGGTCACACAACAAAGGTATTGGGTTAAGCAAGTTAGAGGCCCATTTACGGGCCTCATGAACAAGTAACCAATCATGAATTGGATTGGGCTAGTATTGTTAGATTAAAGTTAGGATTTGGGCTTTGTCATGGACTCTTATTTAGAGATGAGATCTATAAATAAAGTCCATGCCTAGGGTTGTATGATACAACATAATTAACAGTGAATTGTGACCCAAGCAACCAGTCATCCAAAAATCTCTCTCTCTCTGTACCACATGCCTATCCCCTCCTTTTATGGTGGTTCGTGATTTGTTCGTTGCTCG